CTAGTGGATGTGACCGCTATAAAAGTGAATTAATTAATTAGTTAATTGACGCAATGCATGGGAATAGAATGCAGAGGAGCTGCTGGAAACCGAAAGCACGGTTATTTCATCTTAGTTATTTTGAGAACAGACCTCTGGAGCCCGGCTATATCTGAACTAACTCGGCCCCATGTAGATCATCAATCCCGGCACAGACCTACATTTAAATAAATTAATTAACTAGTAATAGTTACCACTACAGCTGCCCCCGCTCTGTATATTGTCGGTCAATAGCATTCTTGCTCGTTGTGTAAATCGTTGAAATATACCGATTCATAAGGAAGATTTTCAGACATATTCCATACAACAGGTGAGATAAATACAGGAAACGCAAGGTTCCATGCACAGTTTCAAGTCGATTTACACAGCTTTGATCAAAACATTCTCAGTTTCAAGAATAGTTTATTCTAAACCATAAGAAAAGATTTAATTAGAACTTGAATTTTTCGCTATTTTTCTTTTACTTTTTACATTCAGTTCATTTTATTTGCCGGAAAGGAAGCCTTAAAAATTAAAACCACGTTTGATCAATTCACTCGCGCATTCTATTCTTAGTTTTAAACTTTATAGCGGAAGGACATCTGTGAGCAGGGAATAAGTCAGCACAGAATTTGATTGTCGGCGAATTTCTGTAATCGTCCATCGTTCTGCTTGTTAGGGGCTGAGGCTTATTCAGGTCAAAGAGAGAGAAAAAGTGTCTGGCAAGGTTTCCAATGAAAGTTTTGTGAACTCGTGATCTGGCAAACTCTCCAACTGTTTATATATACACAGTTATACGCACCTTATAACTTCTTCTGCGCTTAACGAGTGTCATTAAAATTTTGGTCCATAACTTTCACTGAAACAACTGCTCCACAGAATGTCACCGATAACACGTAACGCAAAAGAGTGTCGAAGTGTGACTGCACAATATATGTCACAAAATCTACCTGAGCAGTCCCTTGGGGATGTTCTGTCTTAACGTCATCCCTAACCATTTCGTACTTACGGGCGCAAACAATAGAAACGCCATCATTACCTAACGAATCCTCGCGGCCCCTGTTCAAGCAAATCGAGATTTTTTCTGTATTGACTGTATGACTGTATATTTCAACTGTAAGTACTTTCCTTAATATTCGCGCGAGTTACTAGAGTGCCTCTTCGGGATTTCGCCTTCTGGGCGAAATCCCTGCGGGGCCAATAATAATTTAGAGGTGACGCATCCACTAAAATCAGTGGTTCTTCATCTACCTGATTCCTGGTTGAATTGGAATTTGGAAATGTTGGTTTTTGAGGAGAAGGGGAAACAGCAGTACTTGGAGAAAAACCAGGGAGGTAAGATGCAGGTCCTGAAAGCCACTAACTCTCCGCATCAAGCAGCATGAAGTGAAGCTCATTTTTGATACTGACTATGCTTTGCGAATTCGGATTTCCGACAAGCAGCGCGTCTCTTAACGAAAAACCTAATAAACAGACCAGCCATGAGTAGTAAAACATTCTTTGTAATAGCTGTATTTCATTTTATACATCCAGTGGAAAAAAAAAGTTAAAACAATTAAAAGATGATACAAAACTCTGTCAGCTTCAGCTATCAGTAAACAAAATCCCAAATAATGCATGAATTTTCCGCATGAACTCGCCTTTTTCCTACCGTCGTTATATATAAAATTGTTACGTCCTTCTTCCAACGAAATTGGTCTCCTCCGTCTCTCTAGCTCTTTTTCTGTTATCCACGTCAATGTAGACATTGAAATTAAGGCGAAGTAAAGAATCAGCTCTGTTATTGTTGTTTTTATCTTTAAAAGTCCAGGAAGGTATGCGATTTGCCGTCAAAACGCGCGTGTGCTTGAAATGAAAAATTTCATCCCGGCTTACATGAAGCGGTGGACGTACGTACAGACGTACTCCCAACGGACGATTTTCCCAGAACCAAAATTTCTTGGATGCATACTTTACAAAATTTTCTTACCCATGGTGCTCCGCTGTAATTATTACCGGTGAAGCGACGTATAACACCAGCTTGATTATAGCGGAGCCTTCGCGCGCGCGAAGCGCGGATAGCGGAGCACCTGGGGTAATACAGTACGATAAACTATCCATCCGTTCGTTCGTCTGTATGTCCGTACAGGCTTTCCTGGTAGGGGTAAGTAGAAACGAATTCCCCCCTCTCCCTAGAGAGTTTTGTCCTCTATTGTTTCAAGAGTCTCTCAACTGACCAGATGTTTGCTGGATTTTAGGGGCCGACCATTTTAATTTTGAGGGGGTTATGGGTGATTTCAGGAAAAATGTGCTGCAGACTGATTTCGAGACGAAAAAGCATGCAAATATATTCTTGGGAAAATAAATATCCTGCGTTGAAAAAAAATATCGCCAATGACGTATAATGCGGAAAAAAAATCTTACACCGTTATATGTCCGGGAAAAAATTTCTAACTCCAGAGAGGTTTGGGAAAAAATTCTTCCCCAAACTAAATCAATAAAATCACCCATACCCCACTCCCCCACAAACGTCCAATGGTCAGGTAAACCATTTAGGGGGTTGGGGAAGAAACGGATTTGCCACCTCAGTAAATGTCATCCATCAATAAAATGGCTGGCGCGCTTTCATCCTGTGGTGGTTTTCAAGACTAAAGTTTTGCATTTCAAGATTGAAAATACGCCGATAAAAGACACAAATGGCAAGAGAAAGTTCAAAAGAATGCTCAGCTTCGTTTTTGTGGACAAACGAAAGCTTTTCGCTATGTAATTGTCTGTCGAGGAATTCAACCTTGTTTTCTACTCGGCGGATCGGAGCGCTTGGCTCGTTTTGAACCAACCAAGGCAGCGAGGATTCTGAAGACACTCAGTGAGGTACATTCCGTACTCTATGGTCAAAGAAAAGTACGTTTTTAAAAGGGGATTTTTGTATTTATAAAGGTTTCATGGACGTTTTCTACATTTTGACATCAGCGTGAAAGAAAAACCACAAAAAGTACATTTGAAATTAATTTTTGCCATGTGCTCGACCGATTTAACTTGCGTGAACGCAACGATTCAACTTGTCTTACGCGAATTACTTTTTTGGATTAACTTATGGGTTTTTGAACAAAAATTTTGAAGAACTTATTTTAAGTTTTTTATCTGTCATTGTTCATTCACAACATTAGCTCAAAAAACGACCATGAGACAACAGATCTTGAGATTTTTAGAAACATTCATACGGGCGCTTTCTTGAATTAGAACCGAAGTGTTGTTTTGTACATGTTCCGCATTGAATTGCTATTTATTTTCTCATTCATTACTTGCCATTCAAGGATTTTTGCAGTGTGTAGAATTCAAGAATTTCTGCAGTTTTGCAGTCTGCATTGTGCTGCTCTTTTTCGATAACTTGTGCCCTGAATACATCTGAATACCGCTTGAATTAGGTTTACTGCGTTTGTTTTCAGTTGTTTGTTTACGGCTTCATATTCTCAATGAAAAAGTGAGCTTATCTAAAAAATGAAAGAGTTCTCCTCTATTCTAAAACGGACAGACTCGTCGGCTTTTCGAGCCCAAGTTTGTCTCTTTTTTTTTAACAAAAAAAGTTGTAAGCCGCTGTATTAACGTTTATATTTGTACTGAAAGATTGGCTTATAAATATAAGTAGCGAGAAAGGTTATCGTTTGCTTTCCTATGTCTGTCCTCAGAGAAAATATCATACACCTTAGGGTAAAATTTTCTTTCAGATATTGATAAATGTATAAAAGGCTACACATAACTGTTCGTCGGGGCCCGTTTTAAAAGAAAACAAAAGAAAATATAATGGGCTTACGGGAAGACAAAAGTCCTTAAGTCGGTCTGATTTTCCTTTCGACCTTAGAAATCGTAATCTGCAAATTGCAGCTACTTAAGAGACCTACAATTTAACAATTTTTTCAATTGAGGTTTGTTTGCGGGATATTTTTTCTTCATCATTTAGCCCCTACCTCTAAAGGTGGAGATTTCTTTTTTTTTTTGGTTAAGAGTGCATGTTATTACTTTAATTTGATTGCTTTTATCCTAAGTCTAGAAACGGAGGCTTCGCCTTAGCCGTGGCTAAATCTATATATATAGTATACTCTCTTTATTAGAAGTAGATCTGATATCTTTTACAACATAAACTTTCGCAATCAATAAATATTTAGTTTTACGGAGAATGGCTCAGCACACTTACTAAAATTATGTAAGTATACTCGACTTTTTACTTTTTGGCACGAAAAAAAGAGTCATGTAAACTACTTGTCAGTTGTGGTGCCTGGCTAGCCGTGTTACGAAAAAAAACTCTCAGGATTGCCAAAGTTTCAGTCACAACAAGTACGTGAATGATTCAAGAAATCAAGAAATAGAATGAACAACTACAGAATACAGGGCCACTCAGACTCAAGTCCACCTTGTCGAAAGGCTTTTTAAAAAATCAAGCTTAAGCTTAGCTTAAATCTCCTTGCATACATCGGTGATTATTTTGGCAAACTTTCAAATAGGCTACTGTTACGGCACCTGCGAAAGATCCAACGTGTTTATCTGTGAGATTTTCGCGTAAAGTCCGAACGATATACATTTTGCGCTGGGATTGGAACTTTTTTTATCGAGCAAAGCCTCGGCGAGGCTCAGACAAACATGGCGAGCAACTTAGCTTCATATATTATTCCGTGTAAGGACACGCGAGACCAATCATAGGCGTGCTGCCTTCTGATTGGGCAGAAAAACACAAAGTTTTCTTGCACCAATCAGAAGCCAGAACGGACTTTTCTCCCCCTTCCTTACTTTTCTTCGCGCCGTTTTTTTCCCGCCCGTTTAGACTTTCCCTCGCCCCCACTATCTGCCCCTGGGTCTCCGAGGATGAATTTTAACCAGAGCATATATATATACTGTAAATGAGAAATCGAAGAAAAAAAGGTAAAACCCCTTATTTAGAATAGGCCACCGTAGCTGACAGCTTAGCTAAGAAAACTCTATCATAATTATAGTGTACGTTATAGTGAGCCTTATAGCTGAGCAATTGTTGTTATTGCTAGTGTCACTGAAATACTTTTTATGTCTCTAGATACCGACAACCTCACCTTATGCTGGTTTTCCATATCCCTCAACTGTTTCGTCAAAGCGATGAATGATGGTCTCACTTTTGGCTCATTTTGCCAACAGTTCATCATGATTTGATACCTGAGAGCATAGAATAAAATAGTCTCCTCTTGATTTCTGTTCTTAAGAAGTCAAGACCCTTTTAATAACAAAATAGATCCCTCGTAATATCTATTGTTGCTTCTAAATGTACGGAAAAAATAAGGATAATTGAATTAAAAAAAGGTAGTATTACAATTTGTCATCCACGTGCTGCGGCTTTGGCATCCTGTATCCTTCTTGAAGTAAACTAGCAATTTTCTTGCCATCCATTCGCGGATACGGAGAACCACCTGAAAATAATTAAAGAAATTCCAACAAACTACGTTTCAACAGCCTGTTGCAAATTAAAAGAAAACTTCCTCGGCGCAGGCAATTATCGTTAATCAGAAAGAAAAAACTTACCTACAGTGAAAATCTCATAAAGAACAACGCCATAGCTCCAACTGCAAATAAAAAGGAAGCGTTGATTTGTTAAATAGACAAAGCAAGAACTACTCAAAAATCTTCAACCGTATTTCCAGACAATTTCTAGCGGAGCTCTGGCGCGAAGCGCGCCTGCGGAGCACCATGGGCAAGTAAATCTACCCATTCCAGAAAATTTGGTAACCACGTGACCGTACACCGCCCGCCCGCCCGCTGCCCGTCCGTCCGCACCACAGGGCAACCAATGTTTAATCTCACACTTTCTAGCTAGTTTGGGAGCACAGGAAGGCTGATATTGCACACATGTTGCACATCAATGTTGTGGTTTATTGACAGCTGTCAAAACAGGGTATCCGCTGACCAGTGTCACCTGACTGTATCGCGGGCTCAGAGTATCGAGTATCTTTTTGAAGTTATCCGCTGACAAGTTACTAGTTTTCAAATGATTGCAGGCTCAAGTTTAATTTTTTTTAATTCATATGAGATATGTTGTGTTTTGTATGTGCCGCACAATTAAAATTTTGATTTCAAACTGACCTCGGAAGCTAAGATTCAGCCAGTTTTTACAGGCAGGGAAGACATGCCAGTTGCTTTTGACTTTTCTCATCAAGGTCACGCGTTGATCACGCTCTACGTCCAATTTTTATGCTCTGATTGGTCAAAATTTGACTGGTGAGTTCATGCGGAAAATTTATGCAGCATCTTGAATCTTGTTTACTTTGACAGCTGAAGCTGACAGAGTTTTGTGTCAACTTGTGATGTTTTTAACTGTCTTTTTCCACTGAACATTGTAGAAAATGAAATTCAGCTGCTATCAAGAGTCTTCTGCTATTCATGGTTAGTTTGTTTATCGGGTTTTTGGTTGAGAAATCCGATTTCGGCTGGCATCGTTTTCGTTTTTCACCTTGCTTTATGCGTAAGAGGGTTGAAAAGTCTGAAGCGATTTGGGCCTTACTTGATAATTTTCAGTGCATCTCGAAGGGTAAGCCTGAGTAATTATTTTATTTGATGTTTGTTTTTCATATCTAATTCAATGAATTTGAAGTATGAAATAATTCATTTTTGAACTGCGGTTGTAGATGAAAGTGAAGAATGATCATCGCAGTAAATTTTCCAATTTAAGCAATTGGAAAGAAGAAGCCTGAAAAAATCAGAGCTTCAACGGGATTCGAGCCAGTGACCTCCGCGTTACCGGTGCGTTGCTCACTCCTCACGGGAGATATGAACTCAATAAATTGACCTCGCTCCCAATGTGTGGCTTCATAGCTCAGTTGGTTTCGTGAATGAAAATTGTTGTCTCTGTATATGTTTCACCGAATTATTTTCCTTTTATTGATTGTTAGTAGTCTTTTTTGCAATTTTCATCGCTGTTGTGCCGTTTGTTTTCAGTCGCTCATGAACATAGCTTGCAGGAGTAGTCAAAATGCCGCGCGTATCAAACGCTTTTGAAGATTACACTTCGTTATAAAGCCATTATGTTGAAGCGTATAACTGTGTTAATCTTAATTTAAACCGTCGACTTTGGCGCTTGTCAAAAGTGAGAACCGGCTCGCCGTATAGGTGATTTTGGAAATTTTTTTAACGGTTTCCCTAACGCGTGCTTCGATCGTCCTGAATATTGAATGAGTGCAATTTGAATTGCAAAATTGTGAAATACTGCACTCTGTCCGAGGTCTGTATGATAAAAACAGCGCCTCGTGGTACTATTTCAACTCAGATGTGATGTATAAAAAGTATGAAAAGGTTGGTTTACACGTCCCCAGACTTGCTGGCAAGATTTTGTAAAGTAAACTTATCGAACGCAAAAAATTCGGCCTGATTTGTTTCCTAATGTACTGTGATCAAGAACCATTATGGCTATGCTATTTTTTTAGGTGTACATATAAGGCTATCAAGTCGATGTAAGATTAATTTCACTCTTAGCTTGGACTGTTTGCAAATTATTTTTCTCTAAAATTACTTAGCCTTTCCGTCAAAAGTCACATGAATGTGCTCTAAAGTTAATGATTTGTGGAATACAAATTTACAATTGTTTGATTTAAATTATAAATTCGAGTTAGTAGGAGCTTCGCTTTTAGCCCTGGCTAAATCTATATATTATTTACTCACACGTCACTCTCAGTGGTATAAGTGTTAAACATCAGCGCTTCATATGCAGTCCACTTGACGGGCAGACGTCCCTGGTGGTTAACAATGAGACGCAGAACGAGTGAAAAATACAGCAGTCTTTGAAATTATTTTCGAGATTTAAACTGTTACGTCACATATAACTCTGATGAGCCCCATTTAGAGGGCAACCTACTTTCGCAGGGAAGTGTGTTAAAGAGGATGGTAACCGTCATTATCAAGCAAACAAGTATAAAATAGGCAGGTTTTAGAATGAAATGTTCGAAATCCGTATGGCTGACTTAATGCGAGACAAATAAGATGAATAATATAATGCAATTCCTTGTTTTCAGATACCTTCGTCTTTCTTTCATAAATGTTTTCCTGTTGGACATCCCTGGCCATTCCAAAGTCAGTCACTTTACATGTTTCCCTTTCTCCAACCAACACGTTACGAGCTGCAAGATCTCGGTGAATGATCTGTAATATAAAATCGATGAAATTGGTACTTCCGGGATCTAATTGAATTTAGGGCAAAATTCGATCATTTGACCCTCTCCTGGACATCTGGCATATTAATTCCTCAGTAATTCATTGGTTCATTTATTAATAAATACACTCGCAAATGTCTCAATTAGCATAGTTGGCATGGTTTACTGCTTATTTCGCACAGGAATTTTAATTAATACATCGACGTAGATGATTTTTTTCATAGTATTTCCTGGACTCACAATTCATTATCTAAACGTACTCAGATCCTTTGACTTACAGATCTTGATGACAAGTAACTCATTCCATCAGCAATTTGCCAAGCAAACTTCATCAGTTGCTCTGACGTCAGGCTTGTCTGAGGCTTGATATCCGGGTCTTTGAAATAAGTATCATTGAGTCCACGGCTTTTTCTCAGGTAACCCAAGAGATCTCCATACGGGACATACTCGATCAAAACCAACAACGGCTCTAGAAAATGAGTCAATAAAAAGTAACTTTTACACTATGCGGGTTTTTCTATAATACCAGCAATAATATAGAAACTGAAACTGGTCTTTGAAATAGTTTTACATTAACTGTTAACTTCTAAAGTTGACTACGTTCAAATACGTTCATCATTAATCATATATTTTACCAGTTTCGGTAACACATCCCAGAAGTCGTATGACGTGTGGATGAGGTTTCAGCGTCTTCATTACTTCGAGTTCAGATAACAGATCTCCTCTGTCAGACTCAGGAGCAGAAGCTAAAAATACACGAGCAAATCTGAGCGATACGAGCGTTACTATTTATTGAGATGACCACTGCTTCATATTCATAAGTTTTTAATAATGTTTTTTTTTTATAATTTTAAATGAAAAATCAGCGGGGAAACTCAATTTTCCTTTATTACTTGTTTTTCTCTCACTAATGACAAATAACTTGTTTTAAAACGTTAAAATGTTCAACTCCACATGAATCCTCCAATAAACACATTTATTTAATTAGCATTTATTCAGCCACAAAAGCTATGTGCGGATTACCTTTAAGCATTTTGACAGCAACTGGAGTGTTCGCTGGCCTCCCCCGAAGATTTTTTGCGGTTCCCTTGGCAACCTGACCAAAGACACCTTTACCGATAACCTTTTCTATAGTTACATCGTTTCGTGGAATTTCCCAAGAGCGGGTGGATGGATGAAGAGGCGCGTAATCAGTTCCTAGGGATGAACATTCCACTTGCGGGATACCGAGTGTCACTTCTTCTTTGCGCTTGCTTTCAAATGCAGTTAGCTCTTTTAGGTCCATGTATTCAGTCTTACATTGACGAGAATGAGATGGTTGGACCTCATCCATTGCTAACTCATTCTGAAAGTGTTAAAACAGTATCATCAATCTTTCAGTTGATTAAAACACGAATCCAAAACACAAAACAAAGTTCAATGCCTGTGAATCATTTTGTGATGTTTTTCATGCTAGGTCACATATTACTTAACTCTACAACAATGGCTTATCGCAATAGATTCCAAGACCAATGACAGATGAAAAAAAATGAGGTAAGCTTACGTCATAAACCTCTGCATCGTCGCGTGGCAACGCATATGGTCTGAGAATAAGAAAAGAACCAATAGTAATCATCAAGCTTTTTTTACTTTATTTACAATTAATTCAAATGATTGTGCAGTTTGGTAGAATTCGTCTCGCAAGGTATTCAAAATGTAGCTACAGCTGTTATTTTCTTTGCAGCCGTGTTTACCTTCACTGTGTGCGACAACATTATGTCACTACGCACACAGTTGTCGTTCTTCTTGTTTCTTGTTTATTCATTCGCTCCTCTTTTCTCACTCATTGCTATTATTAAATCAAATTGCACTTAAATTGTGCTATTATTTTAAGTGCTAAGAAATCCCTGCAAATTCCTTTCAAGTACAAACTTCTATTTCAAAAGGAATGTGAGAAAAACCAGAGATCAAACAAGGTTTTATAGGCCCGAGGAAGGGATCATAGCTTTTGTTTGTAAGACATTTTAATTAAAATTATTGCAAGCTTAAAGAGCTCTACAAATTTGCTTCAACCAATCGGAGGAACTACACAGATCTGGGTAATGACACAACATCAGTATGGAATTAGTACGGTCGTTCCTCAGGCCTCATTTTGCGGGGAAACCAGTGGTAGTGTAGTGAAATGTCGGCTGTTTTCAACAACTTCAACAGACTATTTCCCCTGTTCAAGCTTTAAAAGTAACACTCATACCTTTTCTGGCCTCTCGATCCTACAAAAAAGGGCAACCACATTTTAATATCAAAATCTATTTATTTATGTATTTATTTATTTGTTTATTTACTTCTCTACTCTTTCTTTCTATTGAATGTTACATCCACTACTGGATAAGGATGATAAACTTTTGTAACCACTCACCTCGTTTAGTTTTTACCTTCCTGAATATATTGACCTAATGTATGCAAATAACTCAATTTTTACAGCGTTGAATTTTATTTGCTTGGAGATGCATGTATTTACGGCATTTCCAATCGTCAGTTTTATACTATATTTATAAGTAGAGCTACAAAGTACATTGCAAGTTCCACATCATGAGCGAACATTTTTGAAAATGTTTTTACTTTAAGTAAAATGGGAAACTTTTTATATTACCTCTTTTGTGCTGCCAAATTATTACGACAATAAGAAGGATGATAACGAATATGAGAACTCCAGTAACTACTTTCCAAATGACCTCATTACACTGACAGCGTTCAGTTTCTGGAAAGAGAAGTAGGGATGAAAGTGGAAACCAAGAAATCGCACGACCCTAAGGAATACTTAGGACGTCGCGTAGAATCGGTTGACCTGCACCGTTCTAAACCTCTTATTTCATTGGTCCCCTTTAAGGGACGAGTCATAATTTAAGTTGGAGGGGGGGGGGGGGGGNTAGGATTCCTACTGAGCAGCATGATGCTTGAGTATTAAGGAACCTAATTTTGATTCAGTTTTACACAAAGTCCTATATTGTGTAATACTAAGACAATTTAATCAGCATTTTGACAAAAAGATTTAATGCTCAATTAGTAGGTGCATCAACACAACATCCATTATTGTGTAACACTGAAACAATTTCATCGGCATTTTAACAAATGATTACATGCATTAAGTCATGTTATGCAATCTCACTATCCGAATCATTATTTGTAGGATGAGGTTGATGTGGACTCACTGTCTGTGTCACTGTCAAGTTTTTTGCTATTAGAGCATGTACTGCTCATAGAAAAAGCAGTAAGCTTTGGCTGATTATCTTCTGTCTTCCTTGAAGCGTTCCTGTCGGCCTCTAACCTTTCGATGGCTTGTCTTATCTCAATTATAACACAATCACTGATAAATCCTTGCTCTATAAGCTGTTTGAAAGGCTCTAGGTGAAATCTCTTTCTCAGTTAAGTGTGAGGTGCTTCTCTGTTGTTAGTTGGCACATTCAGAAGTTACAGTGAGTAAGAACGGTAAAGTAGAGAAAATGTTATTTGTTATTACCATTTCGGTATTATGTAAGAATGGGGGGCCCTTAAATCTTTTAACATGATTGAAGGGGGGGGGTACCTTAAAAACATGGGTGCTAATACTAGGGGTCTGGAAATATTTTGGGATAAAGAAGAATTTCTCCTCCAACCCCCTCTCCAACTTAAATTATGACTGGTCCCTAATCTGCACTTCCATTGTTTTTCAGGGATAGGGGTATTGTATTAAACAGGCTAGAGCCGCATTCGAGCCAGGACTTGGTCTTGAAAATATGGCGGAATAATAGGACTAAAGCGACTTTAAGAGTTTTTTGCTCTCGGATAGCGAGTTACTCTTAGCCAATTATCAAAGGGTACCACCGGGATATAAATTTCAAGAAACTTCCAATTCAGGATCTTACCTTTGATTAATACCAGCTTATCGGATTTCACTGGGTTTTAGGGCAAAAACACAACCAAAAATTCGCCATCTGTTTATGGATTTTCGCGCGCGTAGACTTTCACGGAAATCTTAAAACCAAATTTTGCAGAAATTACGAAGGATACCACCTGAAATCGTGACATCTCTCGTCTTCCTTTAAAACCACCAAAGTCTTTTAAACGAAGGAATACGATAGAACCTGGGTTTTTGATTTCGTTTCAATTTGACCTGAAACCGTGAGGGGTAGACAGGGCGAAGGAAATTTCCAGAAAACGTCTTGGACGCCAAAATATTTTCTCCGCGACTCGACCGCCATCTTTCATATTTCCCAAATTTGTTTCCAGTAGTATTTGACCGTTTTGTTTTTTTTTCCTGGTGTATGCTTCATTTAGAAGTCTTACGGCAAAAACGGCAAAATACTAACCCCTACAAGGACGGGAAATGTGTTGTTGAACTCAATGCAATGGACTGCGGGAATTCTACGCGATGAGTAACTTTATTGCTTCGCTGTCTGTATGGTTGTAGCTCATTTCAAGAGCAATAAATTATAAAATGTCCTCAAATTGATTTTTGCTTCCTTCTTAAGAATTTGTCAATTTGCCAAGATCGCCTGCACGAAAAATGTGATTCGCACCAAATTTACTTTGTGCAAATTTGATGCAAAAAAAGTGCAAACTACGATTAAATCAAGAGCAAAGATGGTAAAAACCGCATTTGCTAATGCGGTATTTACCATCTTTGCCGTTGAGTTCCCTCCAGTTTGCACTTTGTTGCACCATATTTACCCCTCTGTATCTCAATCTAAATGATAAACATTAGACCCTCTCTTAACGGTTCCATTATACGACCGACATTTTCCTTTCTCGTTTTTTAGAATCTAAGGCTGTCCCGACAGTATCCGTTTTAGAAAGAGTTGACTAGTGTATATACATGCACACAACCCACCTGCTGGAGGAGAAGGCACTGCGGATGAAGTTAGTGAAATGGTAGATGATAAAGAACTGGGAGCGGCAGTCGTATCCTCATCTAAAATCTTTAAGCAGCATACACTGAACGGACCAATGGTTCCCATTATCAACGCGTCCGTTAGTACAGCAAGCCCTTCGTTTGTAGTAACAGGAGTTTTAAAATATAGTATCAACGACACGATTACACTGCCTTCCCTAAAAAAAATGACAAAAAAGATAAACCCAATGACTGGGCAGCAGTAAGATGGTGGCATTATATAGTCGCCTTACCAGTCGTTCCAGTTTTAAAAGTTACGTATTATAAAACTACCAAGAATACGTACGTTTTCCGACATTTTACACAACATTATGGTTCATAATACTAACCCAAGTTTGTTCACTTCTGCTTTGTCAAAGATGGAGTAATTTTTGTACTTCTTGTTTACCTGAAAGGTATAAATTTAAAAGAGATGGCTGCTTAAAAATATTGTCTGTTGTTTTTGTGGTTTTTGTTAGTTGGTTTCCATCAGAGGAGATCTGGAAGAATTAACCATAGGGCTGGTGTTACGTTTGAACAGACCAGGAACATTTTAGCAATAGACCACACTTTCTGTGGGTTTACCGGCGTGATAACCCACGCGGGATGTTGGGAGAACACAAGAAAAGCTTGTAAATCACGAGCCGAAGGCGAGTGATTTATAAGCTTTTCGAGTGTTCTCCCAACATCCCAAGTGGGTAATCACGCCGGTAAACCCATAGAAAGTGTGGTCTATTGCTTTTATAAAATAACTTTTAGTAGAATGGAGTCTTTTAGGTAAAAAATATGGTTCTAGTACCGTGATCAAGTCACGTCTTCTCTCTAAAGTCATCATAAGCCAATCATAACTCACGATTTAATAGCGTTGAACTTTCTCAAAACTCAGAAAACTCAGTTCAGTCAAACAACAAACAGCAGCACTTCAAAACACGAGTTTTTGCACTCATTACATGATAACTTATGAAAGCTGTTTTACAGGAAAAGTCAACACAAATTCATGCGAACGTAGAATGAAAGAATACGTTCATGGTTTGTTTACTACAGAAGTAGAAATTAATTGAACATCAGACTGTACGCAGCTGTATTTTGTTGAGTCGATCCGTAAGAATTTCATTGTTACAGACGGAACTGACAGCTTTTGTAATGGAGGACTTCATTCACTTTTTACAAGCCGCAGTGGTTTAAGATCTGTTTTCTGGACTTTATAATGATCAAGAAATGCTGCGGTAACGACGTGGCTGCATTTGCGAAGTTGTCGCATGTAACTTTATATGCACGTACAACGACCGATGGAAATATGTCAGTGGTCAAAGGTTTCTTTGCCGTAGCCACATATTGGCGTTAATATTTGTCGATTCGTGAAGTCAGGTGGTTTGAGGTAGGTTATGGCATCGATACCACCGAATAATTTGTGCAAATCTTGGAAAAAAACCAGCCGGAAACTCTGACTTCTTTCATCATCGTTGGCAGCTTGTTTACAATCTACAGCGGCCGATTTTGTACCATATCTTGATCAGAGATCTCTTTTTGGAACAATTTCTTTCCTTAAGGAATTTAATTTTGACATAAAATAAATCAAGAATGCTTAAACTATCCGTTCTGTTGCTGGTTAAGTTTTCCTAGAGACTTTCTACACCAGAAATTCACACAGTTGTTGTCTTTCACTGCGATTTGGCATCGTCGTGAAATGTAAACTACTCTCCCGCTTTGTACTTTATTTCTTCTAAAGCTATGGCAGTAGTAAAATGTGGAAACCAACGCTTTTGATATTAAGAAGGGCAGGGTAAGTAACTCGTTCTGTTTTTTAGCCTTTCTAAAACCATTGTTTGCAGATCAATAGCCGGTTTTGTTTATGGCTCGTGGTCCGGATGCCTTTTTCTATGGGTTTACTGGTACAATAAACCATAGGTTTTTGACCATTCAGATCACGCGTACTATCTCAGTTATTTTATAATGCTAAATAAACAATAATGTCATGTGAAAGTACTGCCAAAGAAGTTTTATTTGAATGGTCACACGGTAGGATTTCGTCCAGACTCAAAAGTTGGAGTGACAGATACTTCTCCCCATAACCTGGTCTAAGAGTGGACGGGTTAAGGATTGATGTATTATCATCATTACATTATCATATATGTATTATATGTATAATATCATAGGTGACGAATTACTCGTTAATTTTGGCTCAAAAATCAGCCTTATTTATAATTTCACACGTGAAATTTCAAAATTGCCATGGCAACCTTCTGTACGTCCCGGTACCAAGATGGTGACAAAGTTTTAAAATGTTAATATGTAGTTTTAGCAAGGGCTAAAGGCAAAGTTCTCGATGATATTTATAGTTTGCTCAAACAAAATATAGACTCGTGTAAAGCTATGCGGCGAAGGTAACGAGAACGGTGAAAAAACAACAATAGGTCTAAGTAGCAAAATTGAACTTTCAACGTGCAGCACACTTTTTTGAACATTTCCTTGCGGTTGTTTTGCACGACTACAACGTGAAACTTCCAGAAACTTCCTAGTTACACCTTTTATGGAGGAAATTTCGCACGTGTTCTTGTTCACTTTTTTTTCGTTGTTGCTCATTTTCACTTTGATGGCCGCTAGCATTTGTAATTTTCTGACCGCCCTACAAAATGTTTTTGTTGTTCTTCCAACAAAAAATGTCTCCTTTGTTTTTTATCTTTCGCTCTAGATCTCTGTCGCTCTTTTTCTCGTTGAGCTTCGCTGGCCTGTCACCTACTCTCTCATTTTCTGATCTCTGTCTTTCTCTTGCTCTATATTCCAAATTTGTGGGCATGATAATAATTCTAAGCTCAATACTTTAGACAACACGGATACGGAAACAATCATTTCCGCTTTCCGTTTTCGCCTTTATTGACTCTTTAGTTGTCTCTGGTTCATAAGACGCGAGCGGATATGCAATTTCCCGCCAAAATAACCTCGAGTTGATTTGGGTTGCCATTCCTGTTGATTGAGTTATGTTACATTGGTATGCCTGTGGTACGGACGAACTACCAGAAAATTACTACGTTTTTTGAGATATGGGGCTAAGCTCGCTTGCGCTTGCAGCTCCGCTATGAATAAAGATGTCAGGGTTTTTAAAGACGCTTTAGAAACTCTAAACACACGAAGAACACATCAAGAAGGATTTTAACAGGTATTTTATCGAAAAACTCTAAAAATTCCCAACTTAAGCTAAAATTTAAGCTCTAAACTTTTGAGAGAGTGTAGTTCTTGATCGATACGATCCAGGATAAACATGTCAAAAATTCTCGATTACTAACGTAATTCGTTCCCCATGACCTGAACAAACCTGCGGTTTGTTCAAATACTAATACGTTTCCTCACCCAAGGAATCGGGAAATTAATACAATTTGTACAAAACTACCGTGAAATTATATCCTTATTTCACTCGTCACCATTTGATTACACATATTTACTGAGACGTTTGCACCTGCTATGTTTCTGGTAATTAGAGTTTATTCTAATAAAGTATTAATTAAATAACAAAATAATATAAAACTACCTCCACAACAAATTTGTTTACAAAGGCTTTTGCGAGTGTACTGTTCAGATTGTTGTAATCTGGCTGGTACACTATCTTCGCTCCATTAAACCTCTCCAAGGTAAGTTCCAGTGGAATTTCCCGTCCTTTGAGTAAAAACAAAACATTTTCATTACATAAATGTGTAATACTACAAGTACAATACAGTGCCGAGTACTTTACAGGACATACATCGGTGCAGTATAACAAGCTTCATTAAAGAAACAAAGCCTACTTCTCCCTGTTTTCCAGTCTCGTTACCAGGACCCTCTCATACTTTTCCCATGGGGCGAGAGACAGAAACGACTTAATACACCCTTCCAACGTGATCAAATTTTTCATGATAGATGAGAAGAAGTGTCTATGTAGGATTACATGCGATAGAAAATGGACACATTTAACTTTTCTTTTTTATCCTTTAATATCTTAAAAATAGTGATCATGATAAAACCTACGTGTAATCTCAATCAAGACTCTGCGCTTATCAAATCCCAGTATATTTGTTGCTGTGCACGTGTATGTGTAGTTTCTGCCGTCATGGTCATCTAAATTTTGAACACTCAGAAACCTGCCATGGGTCTCAATTCCACCAGCTACGTTTGTCCAGACATACGACGAAGGTGGGTTTGCTTCTGCTAAGCATTCTATGGTAAGCCTCTTTGAATGCTCTGCTTGCATAGTTGAAAAGTTAGGTTTGACGATTTTAGGGCCGACTAGCCAGTGTCGAGGTAAGAAGGAGATGAAAAAAATAAGTAATAAAAACTGACTGTATTGATGATTTTACGGTGGATTTTACATTCTCTAATAATAATAATAATAATAATAATAATAATAATAATAAATACAAAGATAATAAAACAAATAATGGTGAGGATGAAAATGATCAAACACATACGCAATAGACTATGTGAATAT